TTACAACGGACTCTGGAAGTTCATGTTGCAGGCAAGGCCTTGACGCCTCCCGGCTGCCCCGCGCCCCCGGGTGGCGATGTCATGGAGCCCGGCTGCGAGTTCATGAGGCCACGACTCGGAATCAGAGCACCCCAAAGCTTGAGCCTTGATTTTGTTGTGTTGCGGCTTTGCCACCGCATCCTGCACGTGCAGGCCATTCGGAAGCCCGCGCGACAAGCTGTGCTATCCGCCCCTCGCACTGAAGGGAAGAGAGGGAAAGCAGGCGGAATCTCAGAGCTTGTTCCGGGCAGCGAGCCCAAGTGAACGCTTTGCTCTACATTGTGGATTGTTGTGTGAGAGTTGCATGACGAGAGCCCGGCTGACATCTCAAACTTCTAGTGGAGAGCGCTCAGGGGGGTCACCGATGACCCCGAGAACGAGGCCGCCCTCGCGGCTCTGAAGGAGGACGGCGAGAACTGCGTCCCTGGGCAGATCTCAGCTGTCACTGCTGTGAGTCTTGTAACGATGGTGCATGAGCTGCTAGCTGCTAGGTCTAGGTGTTCAGCAATCCCCATGTTACGATGCGATCGGTCGTAGTGCAGAACCGAAGCCTGTTCGTTGGTGCAGCACATTCTGTCGATGCCGGTGGCGGAGGTGGTGATGATGATGATGGTGATGATGATGATGATGATGATGAAGATGATGATGATGGCGATGATGACGTGCATGTTACAGCTGCATTATTCTGATGATAAGACTATTGGCGATCATGGCGATGCTGCTTCTGACGCTGACGATCAACATGAGAGCCGGAGGTGGAGGAGAAAGAGCTGAAGATCACGATGACTAGGACGATTGTGTTGCTGGCTGTAGTGATGGTGACGGAGATGGCATCGCTGTGATAATAAGTTTTGTAGTAAATTTTGTAGGTGATACTTGTGATGATGGTGCTGCTGATCGTAGTGATGGTCGACACGGTGATAGGGTCATGCTGAGCTGGTGCCGTTTGTGCTGCTTGTGGTTCTGGGGCGGCGGTGCTGCTGGTTGTCTTTGGTGGTCTTGCTCGCAGCTCTGCGGCTACGAACTCCTGACAACCACGACAGGTTGCCTTCGTGAACCTGCAGACGCCAACCTTCCCGCGCAGGACTTGCAGAGATTGGTGCCAGGACCATGCCGACTGAAACCGAAAGAATGTCGATGCGTTTGCTCAGCGACATCAGCAATCTGCAGGACCGAGGTGCTCGCTGCGTGGCAGCGTGGGACGATGCGGGCACGGGAAGGCTCCCTCCACGGTCTGGGGTCACAAGCCAAAAGCTCGTTTTTGACACGATTTCGTTGCAACACATTGGCTGTCAACACGTTGCGCATGCAACTCGCATGTGCCAAACTAGCTTCGGTCTCGAGACAGCGTGGTTGGGTGTGCTCTGAGGAATTTGGTTTTCAAGCTCTTCCCTTAGCAGTGACGCAGTTGGGGCATGCTGAAAAGCACTCCTGCGGAGTCTAGTACCCCCTGGTCGCCAGTAGTAGGGGCAAGGAAGAGGCCACAACATTCTCTGGCAGTTCGTTCCACAGGGTGTACACACTAGTTTCTGGAATCTCGGAGGTGCAGTGGCAGTCTCTCCTAGAAAGCGCGTTGATCTGGAAGGTTCCCGAACGATGCCTTCGCTTGCAACATCTCGACTGCCACCGAAAAGTCTTGCGATGACCGCGCACGAGATACCCACTGCGTGTGCGAAAAGCCGGACAACAACGCGTGGCTTGGCTGCACATGCGCAGGAGATGCAGGAGATTCTT